TTGTCACAATTATGTTTTGAATAATCCTTTGGTCGGAATTTAAATACTTGTTGTCAGTTTATATACAGAGTGAACTTGTAACGTTGTATAATCTCTCGGTGGTAGAAAGATGAGAAAATTTTATGAAAAAAAAATATATTGGGGGGAGGGGCGTGCGGCAATAGAACATTTAAACCCCAAAATCTCTGCTAAAAATTTCCGGTTTCGACAAAAAGGTGTATTGACTTAAATGACTATCACTTCTATAATTCATTAACTGATTTTTTCAATAGCCAGTCAAATTAATATACACTCTACATTGTATTCGGTATGTGAAATTATTTCGTTTAAGTCAATGAAATTATGAACAGTTTAAATTGTATAATAAACGCCCGTTAAATATTTCATTCAGTCAAAAAAAAATTAAAATTTTAAATACATACTTGCTTTATTTACTATCTTGAGCTTTGCTCAATAGTATGATTGCGCAGCCTCATATTCGATAGGGCTATGATTTTCAAAATTTTATTTTCCTTTATTAAATAATTAAGCACAAATTCTTATTCTTTTTATGTTTTGGAAAAATTATGGTGAGAAAATAATTTAAATTGAATCAATTTTTGCATAATATAATAAAAATGTTATGTAGAATTTTATTCCTAAAATAATGAATAGAAAAAAAAAAACAAGTTCAGATGAAAATTTAGGGATTCAAGAAAGTTTTGTTTTTAAATGCGAATACAGAAGGTATTTCAAATGATCCTAAACAAATTTACGGGAATAAAAGAAATAATACAAAATGAAAAAAAAAAATTATGAATTTAAATAAATATTTGTTTACTAATGTTATACAAGATTATTTATTTTAAAAATAAATAAAATACACAATAGGTAGTGTTTATTTTTTTCTTTAAAAAAAAAATTCTTTTAGTTTGCACATACTTAAGATTTGGGAGTTGTACGTATATTTGTATGTATGTTTATAAAATTTCATTTGAGTTGGGTATTATTAATTTTTAATTACTAATTTGGAATTTGTTTTTAATTAACAAAATGCAGGAATTTATTATAAATGATTACGTTAAATTACATGTTTGTAAGTGTCGTAAACTTTTTTAAATTTGGTTATTTAAAAATATGTTACATAATTTATACGCTATATTCATGAACATGCTAATGGCAACCAATTTCATTTAAAATTATAGCAGCAAATTAGGAATTTACAATTTACATAGGAGCAAATTAAGATTGTAATGAAAAAAGTTTTTATTTTGAAATTTTTCAGTGGAGAAAAATTAGTTTCTAACTTGTGTATATTACAATAAACATACATCCAATTGTAATTTCAATATAATTAATTAAAATTAAAAACCATAATTATGATAAACCATAATTGTGATAAAAATTCACCTTCGTTACAAAAATATTCACCTAGTTTTAATTTTATAATTTAATTATTATTCGAATATTTTTTATTAATTAAAAAATATTTTCTATATTATTTTAATTCATATTAATAGGAAATTAGTAATCATAATACATTATTTATATTTACAATATTTAATATTATAGTAATTATCTACATACATACCATATATTTAATTAATTATTATGAAAAGTCATTATTATTACTATGTTTTGCGTTATAATTATGCGCGTATATTATGCGTAAAGTTGCATATATAATTCACAATAATTCCAACATTAATTAGAATAATAAAATTAGTATTGAATTCGAATTATATTGGTCTTGAACTTGCATTTTCTATTCGTATATTAGAAAAAAAATTAATATTTTTCGAAAATATTTCGAAGGACAAAAAAATTATATTTATACACGTTTCTTCTAATAATTAATCTGAATTGATTTAATTAAAAAAAATATATATTTTATCCTATAGGTTTTTATAAATCGTAATTTTATAAAACATAAGACTTATAGTCTCTCTGATTTCATATTGAGTTCAAAATTAATAAAAGAATTCAATTTTTTAGTAAACAATATAAAATAAATAAATCTTTAGTCTTTATGTGATTCAACCACCCATCCACTAACCTATAGTTTTTATTTTTGCGATTTCTATTTAATATTTTGCATATGTGCATAAGTAATTTTTTTCTATATTTTCAATTTTTTTTTAAATTCAGAAAATATTCTTCAATGTTTCAATCAATAGTTTTGTAGTTGATTCTCTTAAGTTTATTCAAATTTTGAATATTTAAATACTAGTAGTATGTACATATGTACAATATGCAAATATGTTTCACAACTTTTTAATTTTGCATGTTTCTAATAGAAAACTAAATTTTTTGTTGATTACTCAATATTTTTTCATTATAATTTTTTTAATTTAGTTCTAATTAAGTTTCACTAATTAGTGTTGAATTATATTTTTGTAATAAAGTAGTTTGTTTGAAATTTGATTAAAAAAATAATTCAGAAATTAAATAAATTATTGAATGAAGACATGATTTTTAAGCTTTCGATAGATTTAAAAATATAATCTAGGGTCTTATTTAGATTTTGATTACTGATTACTTAAATGAACTGATTGAAATCAAAGAAGTTTCAATTTGAAATTTGAGTAATTTGAGATTTATTTTTTTTTATGGAATTCTTAAAGTAATTACTGTAAAAATGTGCAGTAGTAAAAAATTCTGTTATTTCCCACAAAATTATTTGATATACCTAAGTAATGGGTTGATATACCTAAGTTATATTGAGGTTTGAATTGAAATCTGAATTGTTCTAAGTATTGCAATGAATATAATTTTTGCTAAGTCGATTTTGTATGCTTTTAAAATCAAATTTAAAGATTATTTAAAAAATGAATTCTTTCCTTAAAATTCTGTGTACAATATAGTTGGTAGATCAAAGTATGGTCGATCTTCGAAATTTCATAGTATTTTTGAGGTGATTGGAGTTAAAGTAGGCTAAGATTAATTAATTGGCAATATTTTCTCCATTGTTTTTGCCCCTTCTCACGAATTCCTTTTATTCAGGAAAACTAAGAAAAATAAACATTTCTTTCTTCTTAGACTTGATTTGAACTTGCTTCCCATTTCTTAATGCATTCGTTTTGATTTCCATTACTAACATTCAAATATGTTAATAAACGGCATTTTTTTTTATTTATAATCAACCTATTATTAATTAAGACATTGTTTCCATTCGATTTATAAAACGCCATACTATCGAGGTATAAATTTATTATCAGAGTTTTAAATTATTTTCTCAACTCTTAAAGAAACTCTTCAGAATCTGCCTTATTCTTAGAAAAAATTTATATATTAACGAATATTGCATATTCAAATTTTTCTAAAAAAAAAAACTCTAAAATAATCAACTAAAACAAGCTAGAAAACACGATTTCTATACAAAAAAAAAATTAAATTTCAACAATTTTTTTTTATTTAATAAACAAATTATTTACATTTCTATATAAACAACCACCAAAAAATAAAATAAATAAAAATTATTAAAAATTTATTATTTTATTATTCATTTTACTCTTAATTAATTTACAATTTATTTACTCAATAATAATAATAATAATAATGAAGGTACACAAAATTTCTTGAGGGTACATAGATTTTCATCAGCTTCATTATTATGCTGTTAAAATTTTACCTCCTAAAATCCTTTTAATAATAAACTATATTATGATAATTAGATGCACTCTCCTTTTAAAACTTTCTTTTTATTTTTTTTTTATATTTTTATTTAACTGCATTTCTATTATATCCTTTCATAAAATAATCGTTCTTAAATATCCTTTTTTTTTTTACCTACCGACATACTTTTTCCCAAAATTTTGTTCTTGTTTTTTTCCTTTAACTTTATATTTTTGAAAAACAAACAATAATTTTCCTGTATTTTAAAATTTATAAATATTTGTAAACCACCTAAATAGTATAACAAAAACAAAAAGAGAAAGAGTACAGTATAATAAAAAAATAAATATTTTGGAAAGAAAGAGAGAAACAAAAAAAAAATTGTATGTAAACATAAAAGAAAATAAATTCATTAAAAAGGATGTAAAAGGATCACAAAATTATTTTTATTGTGCGGTATACAAAAACATATTATGTATATAACAGAGAAAGATTATTATATGAGAGTCATAAAAGTGATGAAGAAAACTATAAATAGGTAGATATAGAAAGGCAAAAACTATTATAATGTTAAATTTGTTTTTATAAAATATATAATGAAAAACGATTAGTATAACAGCACGTATAAGATTTTAAGAAATATAAGGGCATTCAGAGAGACAACATGCAAATTTTTTATAATGCCTACCATTATTAAGGTCGTTGTAAGTAATATGCATATATATAGATAGTTAGGTATTTATTTCAAAGTGATCAAAGGAATTGTTTTCTGGAGTAGTTTTTGTATAATAATTTTGTATATAAGTTATTTTTATTGAAATAATTTTTTTGTAGCGTATTCAAATGAAAGAAATTTTTGTTTTATTGCTTAAAATTTTAGTAAAATTTTTGATTTGAAATTATTTTAAAAATTATGTCGGAACTATGTAAAATAATACTGTTATATTAGTAACATGAAGAAACGCTCAATATAATTATTCAGCAATATAATTTTAATCGAAGCAGATTTTATATGAATTAAAGGGCCTAATTTATATATGTAAGTGCAAACTTTATTCTGTCCGATTTGTATTTCGGTGTATCGGTCCCAGCTTTCTTGATAAAATAATTTCATATCAAAGAAATGACAATTTTTCTAATATTGAAGGAATATTAATGAATTTTGAAGTCAAATAGCTTATTTTTTTTTTATATACTTAAATATAACAGTTTAATTTTACATAAGTGTGAAATTTTAATTATTTCTTAATTATCATTTAAATTTTGTATACATTAAATCAATTTTTGGGGTTTATTTTCTAAATATAAAAATTTTAAATTTAGAATATTTAATTTTTAGAATAAATTTTTTTTTGCCATTTATGTGTACTAAAAAAAAAATTATTTTTTTTTTAATAATTTTTCAGGCTTGAATGGAATACCTTTACAGTCCAGCTCGACAGGTAAATAATTTTAAACATTCATCATATATATAAGTATATAAAAATGATTCGTATAATTTTTGTATATTCAACCAAACGGCTTAACATATAAAGGGACTGCGGTGATTTGTGAAGGCTAAAACGGAAACATTTTCGTTTTGTTTCAAAATTCATAGATTTTGGGTGATGTTAGTTGGTAGAAAATATCAATTTCCAAAAAATTTCTCAATTGTTTTAAAGTTTAGTTCCATTACAAGCTTTTGTCTTAAACGCCAAATGATAAACGAATTAATTTCCATTGATAATTTTTAAAGTCAAATGAGTTACGGTCAAATTTTTTAAATTATGAATAAAATTATTTTAATTCAAAAAATATCAAAAATTAATTTTGGTTTGCACATAATTAAAATTTGTGTTAAAATTTGATTGAAGATTCATTCAGTTTCATTCAGTTTGCTTAAACATTATTAATGTAACAATATTTTGAATTAAGATTCGGCATCCCTTAGAAATTGATAATTGCAAAAAAAACAAATTTGTATACTGACGAACGCAATTTATTCGACTCGGTTGCATATGACTAATTTTATTCGGAATACTTTGGAAAAAAAATCGTATGTCGTCAAAACCAATTTCACCAATTCAATTTATTAGAGTAATTAAATTTTTAAATAAAAAATTGCATATTTCATGGCTAATTTTCTAAAGTATAAAAAGTCAACGAAATCTCCTTAAAAAAACACTCAATTTAATTATTAAATAATTTAAGGCAAAAATTTTTGAATCAGAGAATTGAAATGAAATTCCGGAAGTGAAATGTAAAACTGAGAATATTATTATGTGTGTGAGTTGTCATTTCCTTGAGAATTTTTATATTAATAATGGAATTAAGATTTGAGAACGATCATTGCGTAGCGTCAACATAAAAAATCGTCGCCATAGAATTTATTGGATGACTTGAAATTTTTTTCTTTATTTTCGTTTTCCTGTGTTTTTATTTGTTATTTTATTTATTTTAAAAATTTCGTTCATTTATTATAAATTCATTAGATCGACGGCCATGAAAACGTGTTTTAAAAAATTGGTTTTTTGTTTTTTCTTTTTCTTTCTTTTTTATTTTCTTTTTGGTTTGCTCGTGTTTTTCTTATCGTTCTCATAATTTTTTTTTTTTTTTGGAGTCGAAATGTGCCCAAAATAATCTTTTTTTTTTTTCTTTGACTTTGAAGTTTTGACACACAAACGCACATTCATACTTGCATTCGATTTCTCATTATAGTAAATTTGATTTGAGAATTTTGAGTTGCCGTTGGTTACCAATAGTTATAGTTTGTATTTTGTTTTTTTTTCATAATTTTGTGTTATTGTTGTTTTTTGGATTAAATGTTACAAAATATGTGTAGGGTATGTATGTTTGTTTGTATGTACGTTTGCACTCATAATTCATAAAAAAAAATAAAGTTTTTTTGAATTTGGAAATAGAGGAAACGAAAATCCATTAATCGTTTTCTTTAGAGCGTTTCATTGCCATTCTGTTAGCATGTATGAGTGCGAAAGTATATATTCTCTTGTGTGTTCGTGTGTGTGCTTTAATAATAAAAGTTGATTTTTGATTATAATAAAAATATTTCTGGGTTCTTGATGTTCCGTAGGTCGCGTTTTTTTTTTCTTTTCAGTTTTCTTGTTTGTTTGTTTGTTATTTTTTGATTGTTGCTTTTTACTGTCTCTTTTTTTTTGTGTATTTTCTTGTTTCTTAATTTTTAAAATTTTTTTTTTATTTCTTCAACTTTTTCTTTTCAACAATTCTTTTTTTGTATTGAATTTTTTTAAAGTGTATGCTTTTTTTTATTTCGCTTCACTTTTTTTTTTGTTTTATTACTAATCTACCGTACATTAAACCTGTTTTTCAAGGTTAATATTTATGCTTTTCTCTTTTTTTTTTATTCAATTTTTATTTCTTTGTTAATTTTTCGTTTTTTGTTATGTTTCGTTTTTTTTTTCGTTTGTATTCTACTTTAATATGTTGTTTCTGGCTTGTTTTGTTGTTTCACATACCAGAAAAAAAAAAAAAACCGAAGCAGAAAAATACTGCAACAAAAATTACCTTTGCGAAAAAAAAATTTAACTTTCATTAAGTCAGGTTACTTTTCTTAATCTCGTTCATCCCGTATATGTAAGCTGTTTTATTTTTGAACATAACTTGTAAGTTATAGTTATAGTATAGTAAAGCAGTCTCTCTCATACTTAATATTATTCAAGTTTAAAGTTGATTTTTTTATATGGATGGTCATTTAAAAATTTTATAAAATATAGGGTGGGTGCGGAGTATGACGGATTTCAGTTTGTTTTGTTTTTTATTATTTTTAGAAAACCATTTCCGAGTTATGGAATATTTTATTTTCTGTATTCTTACTTTTTAAAATTTCTGTCTTAAAATTATTGTATATATATGTATATTGTATAGGGGAGGATGTAAGTATAGGCATTTTCAAGATTTTATAAATTACAAACAAATGCACACACGCTTTTAAAATTATAAAGAATTTTTTGTTTTAAAAGCTCTTTCATTTAATGATGAACAAATTTTTAAAGCTATACATATTCACATAAGTATAGGAGGTATTTACATAAGTATAGGAGTACATACTTAATGTGGATAGCAAGTGTGGAGAATATAATAGCAAGAGTGTAAGAATATAAACTTACATTATCTACTTGCATACATACAAACAATCTCAGTTAAATGTAGGTAAGTATGTAACTACAAAAAAAATATTTGCAATCACGTTTAAGATTAGATCATTTTATGAAATTTTTTAAATCGTTCTATTTTGGTATTTCTACTAGGTACACGATTTCATATTCAATTTCAATATAATTTTTGTTATGTTGGAAGCCCTTTCAATATTGAACTACATACATACATATGTCTGAACATATGTATGTCTGTATACTTATATGAAGATAATTTTAAATTAATAAGGATTAATTAGGAGTTAAATTGAAAGTATGATAATTAGGAATATAATTTGCTATGAATAGGAAACCGTTAAATCTCGATATTATTCGAGTGGTCATGCTCATTTTACTTTTAGTAATAAGTTCAATATTAAGTGGAGTGTGTACTGTATTAAAATTTTAAAAATTATAGATTAAAATTTTAAAGAATTCCAAGAAAATTAGGAAGTGTTCAACTCGACAATTTTTCATAGTTAACTTAACAAAATGAATTAAAAATATTATTAATCAATTTTAATATTATTTCGAATTTATCAATGGATAAACCAATCGAAAAAATTCGTGTTCCAAAAGCATTAATTTTTTTCTAGAGAAATTTTGTTTTAATTTTGATTTTTTTGTATGTTTGTGAGAAATAAACCCTCACCCTTTTTATTTCCATAAAATTGACAAGAAGTTTCTTTCGTTAATAAGTTTAACATTTATCAAAATAATAGTTGCACTTACATCATCATCATTTAAATATTTCTTTAAATTTTTGTTCTGCTCCTTTATATAGGCAATAGGAGATCGTTCTTGCTAAAGTAACTGTGATATTTAACTAACTATCAAAAGTTGATCTAACTTTATTATAAAATTATATTTTGACTGTAGATTCCAATATTGTCGTTCAAAATTTTGCTTAAAAAAAATATTATTTTACAAATTATTTATTGAGAAAAATTTAATATAACTAATAATGAATTAAAATAGAATACAAATTATGTAGGTACACAATATGTATTTTTGACAAAAAAAAATCTCTATATAAGTACTTTTATAAATATTCGAACTCGATTAATATAAAAATTGCTCAATAGAAATTTTCTTAGAATCACTTAATTCCCAACATCATCTTTTGACAATTATGTTTTAAGAACGTACCCGTTGAAATAGCTGTCATTTGCGATTTATGTAGTTTTCATTGTTTTCAGTTTTTCTATGTTTCAGGTACCTACATAATATGTACATACATATATTATAAATTAAACAAAATAATTGGATATTTTTAAATTATTTCCGTTTATATAAAGCTAGTGTAATTTTACATAATGTGAATTTAACTGAGCATCGATTAATTTTACAACTCCTTTCAAATCATAAATTCTTGGATATTTTTCTATATGCGATATTAAGCGTATTCGATTGAAATATGTGTAATATGTATATATAAATATTGCACATACATTATACATTGTAGATTTTAGATTGTAAAGAAGTGATAACTGTGCACCGCGACCAGAAAATTTAGATCTATTGTGCCCCCCTATATACATACATACATTGTACATAAACTTATACTCATTTTGTACATTTAAGATTTAAATTTTTTTTGAAAAATAATTATTTTTAATGAATTCAAATATACACTATAAATGGGTATGTAAGTGTGTAATGTACATTCATCTGACAAACAAGATAAACACCTACAATGTTCTTAAAATTCAAATAACAAAAATAAGGAAAAAAAATCTCATATTGTCTTCAGTTTTTTTTTTTTTTAACTTTCAAATTTTTTTTTTTTGCTTTTTCTTTCTTCTTTTTTTTTTGTTTTAATATTTTCAAAGAATTTTTCTATACTGATTTTTCTTTAACTTTTGATTTCATTCTTATTTTTTTTTTTGTGTTTTGAAAAAAAAAAAAGAAGATTGTTAATTATAAATACATTTTGCTTGTACGTATGTACATATGTATGAATGTGTGTATGTGAAGGTATACATGTAGAATACAAACATACATGAATAAAAATTTATACAATTTATAAAATATGAAAAAAAAAGAAAAGAAAACGAATGCTTTTCAGATTAGTTGGAGGGAGAAAATGAAAATTATAAAAAAAAAATTAAAAGGTAAAAAAAATTTTTTTTTTCAAGGTAAAATGATTTTTTCATGCGCGGATTTCTTTAGCTCTTTTTTTTTTATCGTTTCTCTTTTTTAATTTTCATTTTCTTGTTATATTTTTTTATTGTTGAAATATTAACAAAGAATAATGATAATAATAACAATAATAACACAAAAAAAAATATAACAAAAAATTTTTAACTCTTTTTTTTTTGTTTTTTTTTTTTGTTTTCTGCTTTTCTTCTTTTATTTTAAATTTTTTTTTCTTCTTTTTGTTGAAACTGTCTCTCCTTGGATTTCTATGCGGTAATTAGAGTGCAACTTAATTAAAAGAACGAATAAAATAGCAATAAAACAAAAAAAAAATTCAGAAATAAAATTATTTTCTGTTATACGAGTACACTTATTTAATTTTCTTTTCTAAAAACAATTTATTATACAAACTGTATTTTCTACTCTAAACCTTTATTGTCGGTTTAAATGTCCATTTTTACAACAATAAAATCATATACGCTCTTCTTTTACATAGCATTGTTACTGTTATACCATAATAGTACTTTTATAATTCGTTGTTGTTAATGATTCTTTCGTAAAAAAAAAAACTAAAGGTACTTGAAAATGCATACACAAATTTACCTTACATACTACTGTTAATTGTGAAATAATTTTTCTTTATATTTTACACATAACTTAAATATACACTCATACATACATAGGCACATAATGTATTTACATACTCATATATTGTGTTAACTGTTAACTTTTCTTTATTTATTTTTCTTTTAAAACAGTTACTTTACTATATTAATTCCTATATGTATACGTATAGGGAATAGTACCTTTATAATTTATGGTATCTTTAAGGTACATTTTCTTGAATATTATATAATACATATGTATATACATATGTACATATACGTTTATTCGCATTTGTAATTACGAAAGATTTCATTTTTATCAAGAATAATAATGCTTATATAGGCTCTATTCATATACTATTTACTTGTATACCACTTACTTTAATAATATTTTTATCATAATAACTATGTACCGATATTGTTTAATTTTCTTTTGTATGCCAGAGAGGGAGAGATGATGATGATGATGAAAATTGTACTTTTATGCAAGTTAGTGTTATATAGTTTGTATGTATATAGGTGTAGGTATGTAGTTAATAATTATAAATTTAATGTATATACGATACAGTAATTATTTATATTATATGTGAATTGAATATGGAAGAGGGAGAGGAAATGAATGGGAAACGATATTTTTGAGATGTTGTACTTTGTACTACAATATTAATGTCTAACTATAGGGAAATAATATCATTTAGTGTTGCCAATTTGATTAATATAGAAAATAATTTAGCACATTTCCTAAATTTGAAATCAGTTTCATTTACTTATTTTATTTGTATATTCCTTTCAGATAGAACTTTGAAGTTTGTACACTGTCTGTATACTTACATATATAAAACGGCCTAGTGGAAAAATTGAACGGCGTAAATTTGAAAATATGTTATACTTCTTTTTCTAATAGTTAAAATGTATTCTAACTATAAAGGTCATTTTTTTAAACAATTTTAATAAAATATGGAATAGGCATTAATTATTATATTAATATAATAGTTATATATAATAGTTATAAATATAATAGTTATTAATATAAACATTTAAGGTTAAATAAGGGAATATAACGGCTAAACAAGACCGTCAATGGTATCTAAGGAATTAATTGACGAAATTTCTTAAAATTTAGTGTTTGAAAATTAAGTATTTTAAGTTTGTAAATGAATACAACTGAAAAACTTTTCGAGGACACTGAATCACAGAAATATGAAATTTTCTAAGAACCAAGTTACGTCAACGTCAAGTTAGAGTTGCGTCAACTAAAATTCTCCTTCTATGAAATTTGAAATACATATATATGTGTTTAAAGGACATTTTTAAAATCTTGTAATAATAAGGGACTGTTAACATCGGACGTTATTAGGGATTTCTTAATATTATTCACATTAAACAAAAAATTGAAGCCGATTATATTATGGTCTCGACACCAGATTTCTTTCATGTTCAATTTAGTCTCGTTTTATTTTTAGACAAACGAGATATACATATATTTAGACTTAGTATAATTTTTTTTTCAAGTTTTGATTAATAATATTTTTCAAGAGTGGCAACACTCATACATATTTACTTTTATAATGTGATATTGGAGAAGAGGAATTTTTTTTTATACTGTTCACTTACTTAAAATCAGAGTAAATAGTGTAGTGTAATAAAGAAAGAAAAAAACATTTTTTTTTTTTAGTATTCCGGTTACTTTTATTACTTTTATTGTACATACCCTATAATGTATGAGCGAATACAAGTCTATACTTGTATTATACAGGAAAAAAAGTACTTTTTATAAAATTTTACCTTCATAATATATGTAAATAGTATTATGAATCCGTGTTCAGGAGTTAATAATGTTAACAGTTATAAATTTTAAGAAAAAATGTTTTTATACTATATATTTACCTTCATATATGCATATGTATGTATAGTGCGTAGCTACTATGTTTGCAGTCTCACTCTCACTTATTATATTACATTGTAATATATTCTTCTATATACATATAAATTATGCGTATATGTTATACTTAATATCATAATGTGAAATTAAGTTTTGTTTTTTTTTTATATTGATGTTGAAAATTATGATTTTCATTTTCAATGATTTTATTGATAATGATAATGATAAATGATCGTATAATGATTATTATTGTAAGTAAGGAAATGATGTTGATTTTGTTATGTTTAGCTACCCAAGTTCCATAAGATAATATAATAGTGTTTAATAATTATGGAAATGGGTGATGATGATAATGATGATTTTGATAATAATAAGGGCATTCAATATATGTACGAGTATGTATTCGCTGCTATATGTTAATGGAGATTTTTTTTTTTTGATGATTATTAATTTAACAGCAGGGTCATATGAATTTTAAATCTACTTGTTGGATGACAGATCAATGGTAAATCATGTGAAGTAGCACATTTCTCTTCAAGAATTCATGACACTTTTTTCTTTATAAATATGATTTTTACTTATCACATATGTACATACATTTGTGAGAATAATGACAATGACATAAGTCAAAAATTAATGGATAAAAACTTTTATTAATTAACTTTATGTACTTAAAGAAAAATTGAGGAGAAGAACAAAAATTGAAATATCTAAAGCTCTTCAAGTCCAAAAATGAAATTTCATAAACGTGAAAGAAAACGAATGCCTTTTTTTAGCCACCTTTCTGTACTAGTTTACTTGAATTACTAATTCTTAATTGAAGAAGTTTTGCAAACAAACGCACAATTGAACGGACAGGCAGATTTCAACCAAAAAGTACATTTTTTTAAAAATGAAAGCTCTACATGAGTAAAATTTTTAATTATATTTTCTGGGGTACGCAAAATAAAAATTTATACTTAATTTTCAGGTTTTTTAATTAAAAAATTCTCTCTCTCTTTCCCTTTTTTTTTTGTGTTGTTATTTTCTTGAGTAACGTCCTTACATGGTGGCTTATATGTGTATGAATAATATAAAATGATGTACCATGAAATTTTTAATTACGGCAATTTATTTTTTGTTTGTTGTATTTATAACGGTTTTTAAAAATAATTTTGAACTCTATTTAATCATTTAAAGATTAATTTACGCGTCGATCTCAAAAAAATTAAGATTGTTATTAAAAATTATGAAGAATATATGTAAGAGAAATAGTACTGAAAGAGAGAAAAATAAAATGTAAAATTAATTAAAATGACGGAAATTTCATTTTTGACAACTTGATTCAATTTCCGATACACTTGAAATTTAATCCAATTCGAATTGTTTTAAAATATAATTTTATTAATATTATTAAATATGGTGTGATTGTATTTTAAAAATCATCTTGAATTAATTGGATTAAATTTTTGTAAAAAAAAAAAAACGAAAACTTAATTTTCGTAATCAGTATCTTTAAACGTTCCATTCTTTGTTAACGTTAAATTGTTTTTTTTTGTATAACTGGTGTTTTTGTTTTATTAAACGCTCTTACGAATTGCAATAGTTTTGAAATTTAATTAGTTTTTTCAAATGTCGTGCTTAATTTATGAGAATTTAATAAATTAGAGTCTCTCTCTTTCTCTCTTTTATTAAATTTTTTTTTTAAATTTAACGTTAAATCAAATATACGATAGAAATATACGATCAATAGACGTAATAAAAATTCTATGATATCTTTGGTATATCCTTGCTTGTCAACGTTATTGACAAACTGATAACAAAATTTCCTTAATTTCAAATGCAATCGACTACATGAGGGTTAATAGTTCAATACATACATTATTACTTAAAGATATATTAGCAACAATTTGTAAAATTTTAAACTACAATTTAATTATTTTTGTTTGTTTTCTTTTTATTTATATATATAGCTTTCTAGAATGCTGATGTTGCAATACAGCAAACACGGCGAATGTATTCTCCAAGAAATTGGTGCAGCATTTCGCGGTGAATATCCAGCTGATTTATTAATTATATGTGAGAAAAAGGAGAAATTAAAAGCGCACAAATTAGTTTTGGCAGCGGCGAGTCCTTTAATTAGGTAAAAAATTATTGATCATATTTATTTTAAATTATTTTTATATTATAATTTTATAATAAAAAAAAATTTTTTTTCATTAATTTTATAGGACGTTATTACAAGAAACTCCAGTTACAGAAGGCATTACAACTGTTTATTTTCCAGATGTTGACGTTACATATTTTCGTTCATTATTAGATTTTTTATATTTAGGTCAAACATTTATACCTGTAAATGATTTAGAATATTTACATGATCTTTTATCACTTTTACAAATAAAATCAGGTGATTGGAGAACAATTGATAAAAAGAAATTATCAAATGATATTTTTCGAACAGCATCACATAATCGACGTACAGAAAATGCTACTGGCGATTGTTTTTTATATCGTAATACTGAAACACGTTCAACATTTGATAGTGCTTCAGGTAATGAAGATTTAGATGTTAGAAAGAAAGCACGTTGTGTTAGTTCAGATTCATCACCATCAAGAATATCAGTTAAACGTGAAGCATGTTCAAATGAAAATAGTGGTAACAGTAGTAGTTATGAAGATGAACAAAAATGTAATAATCGTTATAATGTAAATAATACAAGTGAAAGTGATAAAGTTGATGATGATATTATAAATAAAAATGATGATGATTTAGAAAGACAATCCCCACATATAAATATTAGGTTAAATAATTCAGATGAAAAAAATCAAAAACATCACAATAATACAGATGAAAATAGCGAAGATGAAGATATTTATAATAATGATGAAAAAGATGATATTAAATCAACAACAAGTGTAACAAATGAACCACCAGATAGTATTGGTGAAAGAAGAAGATGTTCATCGGATCCAGTTAATTTATCATTAAATAGAGAACGTAAAGATGATTCTGGTGATGAAAATTTGGTTATTGAAATGATTCCGCAACATAAAAAAATTTTAAATCCAACAAGGCTATTAGATCATTTACGTACAAAAAGAAAAACATATTATCATCCACCGGATTCAGAAATATTAAAACCACCATCAGAACATGACTTTTTACAGATATCACCAGAAAATTATGTTGTAACACCACATCGAAAAAGACGACCAGGTTTTCATAATTCACCAAATCAAAGTCAACCATTCGTACCGTACAGTTCATCATTTTTAGAAGATTTACGTATATTAAATGCTCCAACATCAACACCGCCAGTGCAATTCAATTCCGATAGAAATATTCCATCACCCCGAAGTACTAATTCAAATTCTGAAATCTTTAATAATCATCATAGTAATAGCAATAATAATAGCAATAATATAAATACAAATAATAGCAGTGGTTTAAGATCAAGACCACAAAGTCCAGATGATGATAGACATTTACCACCAATACCACAATCATTTGTATATCAATGGCCAACAGCTGCTGCTGCTGCAGCAGCTGCAGCAACACATCAACCACCTTCATCAGCAGCAATTGCATTAAATAGTTTACGTACAAATAGTAATGTTGTTTTAGGTTTTCAATCACCTTTACATAATCCCAATGATAGAAGTTTAACTGATATACAACCAGTACAATTATCGAATAATCGTAATTGCAATTCAAATAGCTCATCAATAAGTGGTGGAACAAGTAGTGGTGGCGGTGGAGGAGGTGGTGGTGGTGGAGGAGGTGGTGGTGGTGGAACTGGTACTGGTAGTAGTACCGGTAGTGGTAATGTAGTTAGAGAATATAGATGCGAATATTGTGGTAAACAATTTGGTATGTCATGGAATTTAAAAACACATTTACGTGTTCATACTGGTGAAAAACCATTCGCTTGCCGTTTATGTGTTGCAATGTTCAAACAAAAAGCTCATTTACTTAAACATTTGTGTTCAGTACATAGAAATATTATAAGTATAAGTGGTGGACAAGATTCAGTTAATCGTTATAGTTGTTGTTTTTGTTCAATGTATTTTGAATCAATGCAAGAATTAGTAAGACATTTATCAGGACATCATAACAATTTATTGTTAAGTAAAAATCTTCGAGATTGATAACATATTTGTATATATATAAATGTATATATATATATATATATAGTTAAGAATAATTTTATATACAAATATATACAACCCCTTTCCCCTCTTTAATTATTACATTTATGATTATTATATTAAGTGTGTTCAATAAATGTATATGATAATTTTTTTTATACAAAAATAAATTAAAAATATAAAAATGTTACAATTTATAATAAAATTTATACTATTTTTAAATATATAAAATATGTATATAAAAAAAATATATATTTTTAAATTTAATATGAGTATTTTAATACAAATTTTTAGGAATCTGGAAAAAATATGTGAACAATTTAAAAATATATTATTACTATGAAGGTGTGAATAATGAAATATTTAAAAAACAAATTCAAAATTAGACAAATTTTAAATTTTAATATAATAAAAATGTTATATATAATATTAAAAATAAAAACTCTAAATAAGAAAATTGAAAAAAAAAAACAAACAAACAGCAAAATAATTAAGTGTCCTTTTTTTATAACCTTATTTTTTTACATAAATAAATAAGTACGTAGTTAAAAATTAAAATAAAAAATTAAATGTGTAAATATGAAAATTTTTGTAAAAAGCTATCTATAATAATAAGATAAAAAAATTCTATAAAATCTATAATTATTTTTTATAAATTAATTTTAAGTATAAATTAAAATATTAATGTAAATATATAATTTTAAATAAGAATATACACACAATCCCTATTACATAAGTTCTTCATGCTTTAAAACTCGGAGTTTTTTTTATAAAATTTAAATAAGCGCATTTTCTTTTGTTTTTCTTGGTCGCTAATCAAATGGCGACAAATATATTAAAATGAAAATTATTAAATAATTATTATTCAATAATTGTTAATTTAAAATTATTATAAAATTAAAATAGTAATGTCGTCGATTACATTTTTTTTTTCTTTTGCTCATCAAATTCCTTCATTTTGAATGGAAATGAATTTTTCTTTTAAAAAGATAACATGTATGCAAAAATTTACATTTACAAAACATTTACAAAACATAAAAGTTAAGAAGAAATCAAAATATTTTGAGCTTTTAAAAATTTATTTCTTTAAAACATAATTGAACTTGTGCTCTAGGTACAAAACATCCATGTAGTACCAGTAAAAATAAATTTAAATTTTGGAAGATTTTCGACAATTTAGTCTTTATTCAAACAATTTTTATATATCTAGCTATATAGCTTAAATTCTAACTATTTAAAGTTTAAACACACTTCTAAATCAAGTGATTTACAAATTTAGAATTGAATTTTTGGATAAAGTAATTGTAAAATTTATAAAATTTATTCTATAATCCAATTCCTTTTATAATTTTTTGCTGATTTTTATGTAACAAGAGCGAGTTCTAATAAAATTGCATAAATTCCAAATCATTGAACTTGTAGAAGCGATTTTGAGATTTTTTCGGACGTGTTGTTCAACATTACAGATTTATAGTAGGAAATTTCCAATTTTCTTGAGGCTTCCTGCTCCTGTACAATGATGCTTAAATGGTTTAAACTTTTCTTCTATGTTTTGTAATAAGTATCTTCATCTTAAATAAGAAATTTTATTATTATAATTATGTATGTATACTACCATTCCAGAATTTACCACTGCCAATTTTTACTATAAATTTTACGAAAGAAAACTATATAATAATATTAGGTACCTATTATAGGCTTTCTTTTCTATATTTTCTAAATTATGTGTTCATATTTGGTTTTTTTTATATCAAAAACCTAATTATATAATTATATATCATGAGTAATAAATAAGTGTATAAGCAATGAAATTTTTTGAGTAAAATAATTTTTATGAATTTCTTTTTCCACAATATTAAATGATATTTTTTTTTGTTATACCAAAAGTTTTTACGTAATATGCGTGTATTGAGTATTAAAAACTCAAATTTTAAATTGAAAAAATAGTTAAGTAAAGTTTTCTTAATGATTTTATATTACACTTTCTAAAACAAAAAAAATATTTTTTTTGTAAAAGTACCTTTCTTTTCGTTTTATTTTCTTTGATTATGTCACTGATTTAACCAAATAATCGATATTATGTCAGGGAAAGTAGGTTAAATTTTTTTTTTTTTTGATTTTGTTAAAAATTACATTTAAATTTAAAAAAAAAGATTTCCCATCAAAATGAAATTCATTTATTATATTAAAAATTATTGAATATCAATGTTGTATTTTAAGAATTTTCGATTGTGATCGAATATGATTGTTGCGTTTATAACACAACACCATCGATTTAAACTTTAATTATTTAAGTGTATTTACTATTTGCTACAATTGTAATTAAATTCGAAATTGTATTACTATGAATATATATGCGGATAAATTTTTAATATCTTTAAACTCCAAAAGTGTCATATCATATGTTACTAAAACTATTTTAAAGCTTAATTATAATTTATCGCTTATTAGACTCCCTCTAGACAAAATTAAGCTCTGAACTAAATACAGAAATTATACATTATTCAAACACAATTTTTTTCCTGATTTGCATGTGCAATGTAATCAGCAAACAAATTTTTGTTTTCCATAATTTTATAATGAATTTTATTTCTGTTAAAACTGATGTATGAGTACTTACTGAAATTAAAATAATTTAGAGAAAATGTAGTTAATTATAAATTTTTTTCTTCTATTTAAACTTACCAATGCATATGGGCCGCCATAAAATTGTCGCAATTCTATTCATGTGAATTCGAGGCAATAATAATCTGGATTGCAAAATATTAATTGAATATTTGAAAAAGAAAATTAACAATTTTAAATTAAATTGAAACAACTTTAATATTTCACATGATATTTTTTATATAAAAATTTGTTCTAGAAAGAAATTTCAATCTGTATATACTGAGAATTATATAAAAACTGTTATTTGAATTATTTCAATGACAAATGACAATCAATTTGTTAATTGAATATGAGATGGCGTTAATTGACCTTTTATTCAGTGTTGGAAGATATCCAAGTGTTTCCACTAATGATCAATGACTAAATTTCAGTTCTTTTTTTCCTGATTTGATTAGATAATAAAGCTTTAACAATAATTTTTTATATGAAATTGTTCAGCTGTACATCAAAATGTTGATAAAATAATTTTTTTAATAAATATTTTACTCAAAAATTTCTACTGCTGTCATAAATATCGTATTTTTTTGACATTACTGCATTATCTTACTATTTAAGTGTTATAAATAAAACGCATAATTAACCGAGTACTTTTTATAATATACTTTCATTTTATTAAAATTTAAGACTATCACATTTCCCATTTCCATTTACGTATTATATGAAAAAACTTGAAATAAAAGAAAAATTTATATTTAAATCATAATTAAGATTAATTTAAAAAAAAACTACAAAATTTATTCAAAAATCATTTTAATTTTTTTTTTTTTTTTAGAAATTTTTGCTTCAAAAATAAATAATGAATGCGTAACCTAAAAATTGAATGAAATATATTGTATCTGTTATCAATAAAAATGACATAATAAATACATTTTGACATTTTTATTATATTTAATGTAAGATTTGCGTTAGCTTTTCTACGCAAATCAATAAAATTTAATAATTTAAAATTAAAAAAAAAAAATAAAATAAAAAAAAAACAAAATTTTTATTAAAGTATTACCAGATTTTTTTTTTATTTTCTTATTTACCTATTAAGCTTGCTATTGTAATTTTTTTGTAATATAAGTTTTTTTTTTAGGAATATAAATGCAAACAAATTGAAATTATTATTATTATTATAACTATTATTAATTAGTAATATGTAAAATTTTTATATTAAGAAAATATTTTTTTCTTTTTTTAATTTAAAATAAAAAATTATTATTAATAATGTTTAATCAACAAGAAAAGCAAAAAAAAAAAAAAATTTAAAAATTTCGAATAATTAAGTAAACAAAAACAAGAAAAGATCGAAGCGTCATCTAACACAGATTAAAAGAATTATAAAAATTAAAATGTACTTATGGTTGATACCACCTTGAGGATTTCATAGTATAATTTAGAAATTTATCTTAAAAGCACAAAGTTTTCAAATATAGCAAATTAAAATCAAATTTTATAATTTTAAAGAAAATTATTATAAATATGTTTAAAGGAAAATATGTATTTGAAATTATAAAGTTTTTAAGGAAAGACAACATATACTGTTTAGTATAAGTAAAAAGCCACTTAATTTAAAACCAAAAATCCATTTGAAAATTGAAATTATCATTTTTAATGAAAAGAAAAATATGTTACTGTTTACCAGTGATTTAATCGATAATAGTTTTAGCATTTAATGATCAAGCATTTATGCTAAGAAAATAGGTGAAACTGTCAAAATTGTTGTTTGTATGGGTAGATTTCATAATAAACAAAATATAGGTAATTTTTTTTTTTATTTCCCTTAAAATTTAACATTTATGGCTGGCACATAAAATAAGTATAATAAATTGTCTGTCACCTAAATAAAAATTTCAATATTTTAAAATATTTTTATAAATAAACAAATAAAATTGTAATTTGAATTCAATTTAAATTTAAATGAAATTAAGAAAAAACATCACTTACATCTTAACCTCTATAATTTAGATCAACTATTTAATAGCGGCATTTTTCAAAATTCTTTCATTTGGTTATCAATTAATTAATTAGTTTAAATTTTTTTTATCTATTAAATATTAAATATGAAAATAATCTATTAATTATTAAATATATGAAATGATTCTTTTCAAGTTAAAATGGTAATTAAATAGAAGATTAATTTTTTATTTAAAAAAAATTAAATTCAATTTTCTTATAAAGTGTTTTTTTAATAAAGTATGTATATATGTAATATACATAGGTAAAGAAAATATAATTTTTTATATAATTTTAAATAATAAAATTTTAATTGACTTAAAAAAAAATTTAAATCCCAATTTATTATTATAAAATATTGTATATGTACGAGTATATGTTAAGTACCTGACTGTTTTTAACATTCCCCTAAAATTTTATTATAATAATAATTATATAAAAATATATTTTTTCTTCCATATATGTATTTTGTTTATTTTAATTTTTTTTTTTTGAAAAATACAGAATTAAAAACACTTTTTTTTAATACTTGACGTGCTAAATGTCATTTTTCTTTTTTTTTAAATTCCTCAGCAATATTTAATGATGCTCAATAAACTTTTTATCAAAAACATAAAATCTCTTTTTAATTATTATAAACATTTTTAAATAATCTATCAACATAATTTTGTTTCTAATAATATTTTTTACTTTTAAATAATATCCGCAAATGATAAATGTTGACAATAGTAATAAACGATGTTTACAAACATGGAAATAAAATGTATTTGTGCTTTTAAGAAGAAACAAAATGAAATAGGAACAAGAAATCGAAACACGATTGTTGAAATGTTTTGAAAAAGACAAAAAAAAAAAAATAGAAAATTTACAAAAAAAAAAAAAAAAAATATAAAAAAAAAAATAATATAAGTAAAAATATAAAAAATTGTTGCTTGGAATACACGACGAAGAATATCAAATCAGAAAAGAAAGCATTTGGGCAGATGTTTTTGATAATGAAAATAGAAAAACCATTTTATTGCTGGTATTTTTAATGCAATTAATAGGTATAATAAATTTTTTAATATTGTTGTTTTTGTTTTATTATTTTCATTCATTTTTATTATATAAAAATGAATACACACACACACACATTTATAATATACATGTATATATATGTTTATTTTATTTTTTAAATTTATTTTATTAAATCGTTATTTATTATTCGTTAAATTTTATTTTTTTTATCATTTCGATATTTGATTACAGTAAATAAATTCAATATTTTTTATTTTAAAAATAAATTTAATTTTTAAATTTGATGCATACTTTAATAAACTTGTTTAAATATCTAGTATATTATGAGAGTAGTATTCCAAGCAAAAGAAAAATATTTGATGTGTATAAATATAAATTTGTATATATATATGTATGTTTATGTATGTATATTTAAAAAACTAAATGAAAATAAATTTGAAAATATTTATACAAATATAAATTTGGCTAATATTTCTTTTTTTTACCATAATGAATTAATTTTTATATATATGTATGTATGTATATTATGTATATAATAACATTTATAATGAATAATTTGTTTGCATATTATGTATATCTTTTATTAGTTAAAAACAAAATTCCGGAGCATTTTTTTTTAAAGTATAAAAAAAAAAATTGAAAAAAAGTTTAAAATTTTAATGAAAAAAGTTAAAAAGAAAGTAAAAACAGAGAGAGAGAGAGAGAAAAAAAAGTGAAATATAAAAATATAGTGAGAAATAAAAAAAAAAACAGAGAGCCGATATTAATTTATAAAAGAGAAAAAAAATATCAATGTGTTTTTATTTTTATGAATTTTTCAGATATCCTTTTCATGATAACCAAATTGGAATTGAAATAATATTAATTTAATTTCAAAATTTCAATTTGAAATTCAAACAGATTAAGTTTTTTTTAGATGAAGTTGATACCGAAATTTTTTCATCAAATATTGGCATATGGCACAATTATTTTTGAATTGCAAACCTGATTCGAATTTTGAATTTGAGATGCTCTGTGTAATATATTTTTCAATTTTCAGCGATTCCGACTTCGACCCGGATCATGATCACCAAAATGCAGTAATACGGTATTAATACACAATAAAATTATTCAGCTTATAATAATAGAGTTTGAATTGTGAATATACGATAATATTAGAGTCTGACTTGTGTATTATATCAGGTCACAATCAGAATTTCTGACTTGTGTATTAATACGGTATTACTGCAATTTGGAAGTCTTGTAGAATTTCAAAACGTACTTGTAGAATTTCAAAATAAATTAAAATAAATTTGAATCTTAGAAAATTTCTTAAATTCAGAAGTATGAATTTCAACAGGCGTGACCTAAAAACAATGATAATGATAATGAAATAATAAGAAATTTAAATTTTAAAAAAATATTTTTTAAATTAATTCTCTATTATAAAATAACAGTGACAAAAATGCACTTACTATTATTTTAAACTGTAATTTTAATTTTTTAATTTTTTTTTGTTTCACACTTACCCTATTGTTTAAAATTTGTTCAAATGTGTTTTAATTGTGATTGTAATACAAAAAAAGTTAAGTAAAATTACTAAAAATCTCTATACATAATGATTTTATTGCAAGGATATTAAACAATAGTAATACTTATATAAGTACATACATTCATACATAAGTGATATTCAAATATTGTGCAGGTGTATAGTAAAAATTTTCATTATAAAGTTTTTTGTACCGCATAGTTATATAACACGTAATACATATTATGTGCAATTATATATTATGTATATACGTTACATAAAGAGTCAACAGGGAAATTTTTGACATACAGATAAGGAAGCGCATGTGTAAAAATGAGTATTCAAAGGCATTGCATTTTGGGGCTATACTCTCAATAGAATATACATTTTAAATTATACATGCAATTGGGTCGGTTAAATGATAAAATTTTTTGTGAATTTCGCGAAATAAAATATATAGATTTATTTATAGGTATAACAAAAAAAAAAATAGGAGCAAAAACTCTTTGTGCATTAAGAAATCTATAAATTTAAAATTCTAATTGGGGAAAGAATAAAAAAAAAACTTTTTCCAAACGTATATAGAAATTCGATATTTTTAAAGTAAAAATTTTATAAAAGTTTTAAATTTTAAAATTAATGTAAATATACTTAATTTATAGAGAATTTTATAGTAATGCAAAAAAAAAAATTTTTTTCAATTTCATTTTTAAAAATTTTCGGTTTTCATTTCTACTGTAACAGTTTAATTACTTTTTAATTTAAATATTATAATTATTAAATCAATTATTTTTAAATAGAATCAATAATTTTGCAAATTATACAAGGATAATTGGAAAATATAGCACTATTTCCTAAATTTTCAATAAACAAACTGTTAAATAAATGTAATTGGTTAATAATTGACAAGTTTTTTGAAAATTAGCGCCACAAGTGAAAAATACATGAAGCTTTAGAAGCTTAAGAACAAGACATTTAATATTAATTCAACACTCAACAGTGTTGTGTAAATTTTAGTATTACAAGAATGTTCGCCTGTACTTATGCAATATTAATTTTTGTGGAAATCTTCTTTCATACATTTTCGTCTTATCGTTTCTCTCATTGTCACAAATTTCATTTGTTCCACAATTTTGATAAAATTTTAATCGGCTGTTAATTTGTTTAATTCTACAAATATTGGAAAAAAAAATAATTTTAATTGTTTTTAAATAAATAAAAATGCGAATGAAATATTTTTATTTTATTTCTAAATTTAATTCGTTTGTCTTTTTTGTGTTTTTTTTTTTTATATTTTTCTTTTTTGTATTTTTTTCTTTTTTTAATTCTTTTTCCATTTCTTTTTTTTTTTCTTTTGTCTTAATTAATATTTTGAGCAAAATCAAATAATATAGATAAATAATTTTTTTTTCATTTTTTTTCTTTTTATTTTTTTTAATTTTTTTTTTTTAAATTTTAAATAAATTGACATTAAAAATGTTTCATTGTTTTAATTTTTTCTCTTTTTTCTTTATTTTTAATTTGTATTTTGTATTTTTTTTTTGTGTTTTATTTTTTCTCTCTTTTTTTTCTTTAAATTAAACACCATCTTAACAATAAGATAATTTTTTTTTATATAAATTCTACAATTTCTCTTTTGTGTGTGTTTTTGTGTTGTGTTTGTTTTGTTTGAATGAATAATAATGAATTAAAAATTAAATATATATAAGAAATAGCTAGGTAATTATAATTATTTTGACATAAGAAAAAAATCAAATTTTTAGTTTTTGTAATAAAAAGTTTTCAATATTTCAAAAAAACAAAAAAGAAAAAATAACAGAAAAATAGTTCATCAGTTCTTATGTACTCGTATTTTTCTTTTTTTTTCTATTTTATACTAATATTAAATTTTATTTCACTTTGGTAACATTGTTTTTTTTTCTTCATTTTGAAAAAAAAAAAAAAAATTTTTTTTTTCTTTAATCTTATCTTTATTAAATTTTATTTTTTCTTTTTTTTTTATAATAATTTTTCCAGATATTTCAAATTTTCATTTTATGAAAAACGAAATATTGCTGTTATAACAATAGCAAAAATTAAACAAATTATACCAGCTGTAATTTTAAAATTACTTAACGATAATATTGAAAAACGATTATAAATTGAACAAATTTCTGGTGATTCATCATGTAATAATGAATTACCTAATAAATTTTCATCATATAATTTAATACCAAGATTATTTAAATTCTCAATATTATGTTTTATAATATAATCTTCCGATATTATCATATTATTTGTTGCATTTGGACAATCCATAATACCATTACATAATGATAATTTTGTTAGACATGTATTGAAATCATCTGGACATTTAAAATCACAATTAAAATCATTGTTATATTTGTTATTATAGTAATTATTATTATTATTATTATTATAATCATTATTTTTTTTATAATTATTATTATTATTATTATCTTGTAATAAAGATAAAGCTAATGAACCATCTGAATTTCTTGGTAAATGAAAAAGTTCTGTCCAAACAATACGAAAAGCATTTCTACCTGGTTGTCCATCACCAGTATATTGTATTAATACTGGTAATGCTTCTTGTTCATTACCTAAGGCCCCTAATTCGGCAGCAGATAATATTGGCAAATCTCTTGCTGATGATATATTTTCTGGGCATACAATAAAACGTGGTTCTAAACGACCAGATAAATATACTTCAATTTTAGCATTTTCACATGTACGTCCTTTAAAATGTGATTTTTCTAAATGTAACCATAGATCACGTTGTGCAGCAACTTTTAATTCCCATATACATTTTTCTTTTTTATTAAGGTACATATTTTGTTGATTTTCAGATGTTTTATCTGATATTGATTGATTCGTCATTAAAAGCGATGATGATGATGATGAAGATGATGATACAGATGATGAATATGATGATGAATATGATGATGATGATGATGATGAATAATCAATTGTTGGATTACCACTTGCTGGTACAGCAATTGGCATTTGTTGGCTCATCATTACTAAGGCTTTCCTATATGGAAATACTAATTCACCTTCTGGTGATGGACCAAATGTTATTGGACCACATAATGGACCATGTACAAATTCATAATTTGCTTCAAATAATGGATTTGGATTTTTAAAATAACTTGTAATGGCATGTTGTCCTTGTACAATCATTTCTAAATTAACTTCACTGCTAGACGATATAACTCGTACAGCTCTAGGTATATTATCACAAAAGCATGCTAAATTATCTTGTGTTTTAGATTCCTCTTTTTCTTCCCATATTATTAATTTATCGACACGTTCTTCATGACATCTTGTACATGCATTCATATTAAATGCTAATTCTTTAAATGATACTGATAATACTTCAATTAAGACACGAGCATATAAACGTTTATCAGTTAAAAATTTATATTGACATCTAACATCAGAACCAGCTGTTCTTTTAAATATTAATGTATTTAATGGTGAACGTATTCTACCTTCTGATCTTTTCCATGCATATATATTTTCATCGCATAATGTATTAAATACTGGATCACCATAACGTGTATTATTAAAGAAATCATAATGAGCCCAGTAATATAATGAGCTACCACTATATGATCCTGTTTTACTTTTAAAACGTACAAATAATGATGACGATGTACTTACAAAATCAATTTTTTCCATAGGCCGTGAAAATGTGTCACAAAATGTTTTTATTATCCTAGCTGGATCTGGTCCAGATGAATCGTATATTGTAAGAGATTCAGCGCAATCTCCTTCGTGTGGTAAAATTGGTGCTTCTATTCGATTTATTCGAAAACTACAAAAAAAAAAGAAGAAAATAAACATAAAAATCTTTATTTAAAAAAATATTGCATATGTTTAGGAGACGTAATGTAATATTGAAAGCAATATTCTTGAACAAGAAAAATGATTCAATGTTTTCTGATTCAAATAAGCTCACACTTAATTTTATTTACTTAAAAAATTGTAAATTTTAAAAGCTTTAAACTGACGCAAAATTATTTTTAACTTTTTCTTCTTTAGCAAATACAATGATCTAGTTAAAAATGACTATATTTACAAAATCAATTTGAATGCTTTTATAGTCGCAATAAAAATCATATTATAAATTTATCAGGTAATTTAAAAATTTCTTATTGAATAATTTATTATAAATAAATAAATTATTAAAATGAGAAATTTTTTAAAGTCGGTGTTTAAGAAAATAAAAAAAAATATTAATTTTTTTAATGCCTACTATAATTAAAGACGTAAATATACAATAAATATGATTTGTTTTTCGAATTTAATTCCCATAACTCAAATAACGTGTATGAATAATTTAAAATAAATTAAATAATTTTTGATTATTTATTTAAATACCTTGGAAAATATAAACGAATTATTTCATCTTTTCGTCCTTCGATATGATAATTGCAAATCGTATTTGGTGGATACCAATGTGCTATACTTAAAAATATTCCTTCAGTTTGGCTTGTCTGCCTTAAAGCATCTGATGTTAATGACCAATCACATATATCACGTTTTATACCAGCTGTTTCAACTTGTCCCGGCCAATTACCAACATTAAAATGAAATCCATTATTTAATAATGGTCCAGCTGGTGATGAAACAAATTCAACAAACATATTTTGTGTTGTTCCTAAAAATTTTTTAATTTTCTTGTTTTAGCTTTTACTAATGTCTTTGTATACAAGTTATATATTTTACAACTAATAATTAATTACCAATTATACTAAATGGAAATTTTCCAATTCCACAAAATTTTCCAATTAATGGTGCATATTCATCAACACCATCATAAATAGCAAGCCAATCATATGGACAATATTCATTACCAGAACCAATTGATCTCATAGGACATGTCATAATATTTTCACAACTATATATAATAAAATAATAATTTATTTATTTTTTTTTTCATATTATATTAGGAAAAATTTTATACCGTTGTCCATCAACATTAAATTGTTCATTTTGTAAATAAAGTTTAATAAATGGTTGCCTAGTTTGTAATTTATAACGACATTTTAATGCACGTGGATAAACGCCTGGATAAGCTGGTGATTGTACATAACAAGCTTGTAAACGACAATCTCTATACTCTCTTTCACAATATGATCTATAAAATTTCAATTAAATTCACATAATAAATTGTATAGTTTAAATTATATTGAATAAATTAAAATACCCTTGTACAACTTCTCCTCTTCTATTTGGATAAAGTTCTGGATGTTGTCCATATCTTAAAAAAACTTCTAATTGCTGTTCAGCTCTTGAATCGAATTGAAAATATGTCTGTTTTTTTTTTTTTAAATAAAATTCATAATATTAATATTAAAAAAATTTTATAAAATTTAAAAAAAATATTGACATTTTGTGTTTTAAAATATTGTGTATTTTTCACTCAAAAATAACACAAAAAAAAATAGTCACTCAAAATTAATAATATATGATATAAACACTTAAATGCAACTCAAATGTCAATTCAGTAATGTAATTAAAAAAATTGACAGTGTTAACAGTTAAAATTAGAGAATGACATTTATTTTGCATTAAGGTAGATACCAATATGGAGTTAAAATTCAATGGTGTAGGGAAAAAATCACTAAATTTTAAAATAATCTAAAAATACCTTATTATAGCAAGTATTTTTTTTGGGATATAAAATATTGTGTTTGATTATATCGTTAAAAGTATATATTGATATACTAAAAACTATTTAATAAAAAACTAAATATTAAAAATTGTGAGTATAAAATTAAAGATTAATCGGCTAGATACTTGAACACATTTGAACACGTTCTTCACTATCTAATATTTTACTCACTTTGTAATATTTTACTCACATGCTGTACATTGAGTACAACAGTCTCCATTAGAAGAGAAATTCGGTATTTCTTTTGAATACAATTAATATTTTTTTTAGTTTAAATTTCATTTTAATTATAAGAAATTTAATAATAAAATTTCAAAAAAAAACTAAAAATTTTACTTTAATAATTAATTGCATTCTCTATTTATTTATAATTTAATATCTAGCAAATTATTTGTAGATTTCCCTTATAGATCCATTTTCTATTATCAAAAATATTCGATTAAAAAGTGCTGGTTTAGTTTTTTTTTTGTATTTCCCAATAATTTGTAAAATATTTGAATTCAAATAATTGGTTTCTGAGAACAAAATATTGTAAGTAATTAAAAAAAATTATAATTTAAATTAAATTAAAAAAATTTTTATTAAAAAAAATTAAGAAATTTAATTTTTATTGTCTGTTGGCCATATTTGTATGTTTATAAAGAATTTCTAATAATTATAAAATACTTACTTGATCTGTAAAATTATCTGTATGAAATAAAACTTTAACATAACTTGTTTCACTAATAAACGTTTGTGGTTGTTCAATTTCACCACAAAAAACACCGGGCTCACGACGATTTGAAACATCTGTTTTTGAATTTCCATCGGTAATCTATATATGGGCCATAATAAATGAGAAATAAAAATAAAATAAATTTAAATAATATTTCAGAACAGAACCTAAATGCACATCTAATGTCAACTTAATTTATTTAGCAAAAAAATATTTTTGATTACTGAATAAGTTAAATTGACTTTTGACAATTTAGGTGTTACCATATTATTCCATTTTATTTCGATATTAAAAATAAAATTAATTGATTAATTTGTATTTGAATAATATTTTAAGAATAATAAATAAGCAATATTTTTTATATATCGAAACGAAAATGAAATATTGGTGGGAAAATGTTAAAAAAATTGTTACCTGTAAATAACCACCTTGGCAGTGCGTTGCATTAACTAATGTGCCTATTTTAAATTTTTTAAAACGAAGTCTCAATACTAAATCTCTAGGTGAACTTCGTAATGTGCGAAAGCGATATGTGCAAGTAAGTGCTCTTCCATAATTTTGTGATGTTAATTCCGGTGAGGAAATATCTTCGAATACATCAACTGTTTTATTACAATAATCACGTGATGAATCTGCAATTGTCCAAATTATTATAATGAAATTTTTGTTATACTCGTATTGTTGTTATTTTTTAATTTATTTATTTTTTATTAAAGAAACAAAAAAAAAACAATAGAAAATTTTTAAGTTAAAATAAATTTTATAAAATTATTTATTAAATTATTTCATTACTTTTTTTAAGAAACATAAATTAAGGGACAAAAAAGGAGAGAGAAATTTTGTTAAAAGTAGCAAAAAGCGGCTTGTAAAGCAGCACTTTGTCTTTCAACAGATGAAGCTGCTTTATTTATAATACATTATTTAAAATACTTTCATTCATGGCCAAATATTTCAGAGAATGTAAACATTTAGGATGAAGTAAAAATAACAAAAAAAACAAAAGAGTTGTTAAAATAATGCTCGAACTCAAGGGTTAATTGCGTGAATTATGAAAAATACCTATATTTTTAATAGGATAGTATTTACCGTTAGCTATCTGCATTTATAAAAATTTGGAAAAAGCTTGCAGTATTGGAAATATAAGATGCCGAAAATTCCCAATTTTACAGAATTCGACAGTCGATAACTTGAGAGCGGGTGAAGGTAGAAAAAAATTTTTTTCTAACGAAATGAACTTTTAGAATAGTCTGATATTGAAAAGCTTTTAAACTAGAAGAAAAACCATGTCCAAAATTTTAACGAAACGGATTTTTAATAACGGTTAATTTTATAGGCTATTTTGAAAGCAGCCTATTTTTATGGAATTTAAAAAATGTTTGTGGTGTCGTTACAATAAATAGTAAAAAAATTGTATTTTTGGGTTTTCCAGAAGCTATAACTTTTGAAGGCCAGGAAGTAGTTAAAAATGCTTTTCTATGGAAATAAGTTTCTAGTAAAGATCTGTTCAAGGGTGTAAAAGTTTTGTATGTTAAACATGTCCGCTGACTTATGGACGGATGAAGTGAATTTACAAGTACTTTTTTTCATATTTTTTTTGGAAAAGTATTAAAAAACTAGACAAAATTAATTTTAGAAAAATTGCATATATTAAGGCGATCAAAATGACTTTGTAAATAAATTCGATATTATTTATTGTAAAATTTTTTTTTATTAAATAATTTTCTCTTTTTTCCATATAAATTTTAATAAGGATTATAAAAAATATTTTATATAAAATTCCTGTATATACCTAATTCTATATAGTAACAAAATACATAAATTTAAATTATTTTTCATATTTATAGGAAATTCCTATATTCCATAGAAAGAATAAAAATTTAAAATTAAAATGTCCTTGAGATCTTTTATATTAAGTATGTATATATAAAGTGTACATTCCAAAATTAGAAAAAATAAAACAAAAAATATAAATGATTATTTTATGTTTGACTTAAATTCTAATTTATAATCAAAAGTTTTTGTGTTTTTTTTTCTTTCCTCTATGGTTTTTTTGCAATATGCATGATCGAGGTCATCATTTAATTATTTGAATAATATAAGTATTTAATGTTCATATTTATAAGATCAAAAAAAGATGATTGAGAATATCATTTAGAGCATAAAAATAATTTAAAGGATTTTCTTTTTCCAAAAAGATTTAAAAATATTTAATTGCAAATTAATTATAATTATTTTGTTATACTGTCATATAGTTAATATTATTTTTCATGAACACAATGAAATATATTTTACGTATTTATAGTATTTCATTCAACTAATTGAATAAGTTGAAAAATACACCACTGTTGTTACACTCAATGGTGAGATGAGATCGAATCGGTTCGGTTGTCTAACAATTTGAAAATAAATTGGAATTTACAAAAATTAAAACAAAAAATTTGAAATGCACCTTTTTGCGGCAAAGTCATGCAATACCAAATAGAAGAGATTTTTCAAAAGTAATGAATCGGTACACACTGATATTTAAATAGAAATAGTATAGTTAAAAAGAATATATATTTTTAATTGAATAATATTTAATTAAGTGTTATAAATACTAAATTTACATGGCCAACAAAAAAAAGAAGAAGACCTGTATTATGAGAAATTATTCCCGCTTTGGCAATATATTGAATAAAATTTAAATTGAATACAAGTTTAACAAAAAAGCACTTTATTACTTCGTTTATGAATTTACAAATATTAAGGTTGCGAGCCAGTTAATAGAAATTTCTCAGTTCACCACTCACAAAAGCTCAGTTCAGTTCAAAAAAAAGGTACCACAAAATTCATTTAGAAGCAATAAAATTTTTTTTTCGTTAATTTTTTTTTTTATAGTAAATCCATTAAATTAAAATTCAAATGTGTTGGAGAGAAATACCAACAGATTGCATATGATAAACGTACGAGACATGGAACATAACGTTGAAATTTGAGCACAGGATAAATTTCAAAGAAATTTGCTAAGTATTTTTCTATTTGGTAACAAAATTTTGCAAGAAATGGTCTGAAATATTAAATATTGCAATTTCATCTGGTCTGAAATAATAAAGAAGTGAAAAATAAGTGAAAAAGAAGATTTAGTCTGTCTGGAAAGCGAAATATATGAAAAATATGTAAATAAATATGTAGATTAATGGATGTGGGAGTAACCGTACTTACGGGATCACAGTGTGTGACCATCAAGGTCTATAGTGATATCTTACTATACTTAAGAGCGTCTAATCATATAAATAGCAGGAAAATACTTAAAGATTTGCCGAAACCTAAAATATACAAATTAAAAGACGTGAGAGATGAATGAAAACAGATTTCCGGTTGTTTGAAACGCAATACATTTTAATACATTTTTATTTCCGCGGGTGGGGTCCCGGCGTAAAGATTTACAGGTTTTTCTTATTTATTGGCATTAATATTTGTTTAATATTAACAAAAAAAAATAACCGCAATAAATTTAAAAATTTAGACAAAAAATTTTTATATTTTCGACATTTTTTTAATCATTTACTTTTTTGTTTTTTTTTTATATTTTTTGACAAAGAAAAGTTCATAAATATCTTAGACTATCTTTATAATTACAACCTGTAAAAAAAAAAATACCAAAGAAATTTTTCAAAGAAAAAAAAAACACAAAAACCTGCCATCATTTTTTTCTATTTTCATTATTTGTAATTATAGAAACATAATATATATATATATATAAGAATATATATGTATATATAGAAAAAAATTTTTAAGTGACTTCTATTTGAGTATATCCTTTTTCCTTTTATCAATGAATTAGTTATATAGTACAATATATATATATATATATATATAATATGTTTATATTTGCTACTAATCAAAAGAAAAGTAGGTCACCAGAGGACTATAATTAGGCTCGCTATTTTACTATACACACATATATGTATATATGTCAATGTACGTGTATATAGGAACGAAATTTTTTCAAAGAAATATTCAATTTTTTTGTTTTTGTTTTTTTTTTTATATTCTATAAATGCATTCTTGTATACAAATAGAGCGAAGAAAAATTATAATGTCTATGCACAAATTGTATGTACCTATATATACGTTGACATAAATGTGTGTATGTGTGTATATGTGTATACATAATTTATGGTTATGGTTATTATTCATTCGAAATGTTAAGTAAAAATTGTGTATATAATAATGTAAGTGAAGAAATATATAGCAAAGAAAAATAATTTTTTGCCATAAATCAGAATTATTCTAAGTGATATTTTCCAAATTTTTCAGGAGATCGATTTTGGGATTAGAAAAATGATATAATTAGTAAAAATTTGAATTTAAGATTTGATTAAAAAATTAAATGATTAAATTTCATTCTTTAAGTTTAGAAATTCTATTTTAGTCAGTTGTTTTTTTTTAAAGAAAATTACGACTTAGATGCAGTTTCCATATATTACAAAATTTAAGACTAAATTTACGACAAATTCTAATGACGGTTTACATAATCAGACTGAATTCATCTCAGATTTAGTTTAGATTTTTCGTCAAAATTTTATTAAAAAATTATAATCAGAATAAAAAATTTAGTTGATCACTGTTCAAAACTCCTATACAGAAAATTAATTGTCGCAATTCTACTTTTACATGACTACACAAATCTATTATTTTCTATCACAAATCTATTATTTTCTATTACAAATCTGACAATAAATCTGATGAGGGTAGAGTAATTTCTATTATCTGCCGCCAGACAAATTTCAATTTTAAGCAATATTTATAAATATGACTCTCATTAGGATACGACAAAACCTTAGATTTTGTCGTATATTTAAACAGAGACTTAGAATAGTTTTGCATTAGAAATTTTTCAAATTTATTTTTACCATAATTTTAAATTACAAAAAAAAAAAAAAATCTCTTACGGAAAGCCATCAGAAAAGAAAATAATACTAAAATTGTATGAGAATGAGGCAAACCAGTTTTACTTAAAAGTGGACTTCGGATAGTTCTGATTTAAGGCGACGTATACCTGAATATAATGGATATATATATACTTTAATATGTGGAGGTTTTATTAACAAGTTATTTATATTAATAACTTGCAATGCATATTATACACTATATGTGCATATACATACTTATATATAAAGGGAAAAATGTAATTATATGGAATGGAATTTTTTTTTTTGTTAGAAGTAGATGAGAATTTAAAATTATATTTTTAATATTGAATAATGAAATGAAAGAAAAGAAGCAGAAGAAAAAAATAAAAACAAGAACATTAAAATATCAAGAATAGAAATGTAATTATTTAAATTACTATATGGAATTCAAGAGGATTTCTAAGTGGATTCTATATGGTTATACAAAATATATATACATAAATACACATACAATATATTAGTTTCCTTGTTCTCTATATAAAAAATATAAGTATATAAGAGTATAATGTATGTAATTTTTTGTATTAATTTTAGTGAGGGTGGTTTTTGAATGAGTCCTTTGGCCCTATTATCATTGTTATTTAACTTTTATTTTTGTTTTCTTTTTTTTTCCTATTCAGATCTTTTCTTGTTTTTTTTTCTGAGTGTATTTTTAATGATTATTTAATGTATATACC